AAATGAGCCTTAGGCATCGAGTCCAGTGGTCGGACGGTTTACGTAAAGTTCATTCAATAGCATTTGAAAGCGAATTCACGTGAACAGGATCTAAAGGTTAAGAAATTCATGTCCTAGAGGATTAACGAGACATTCCTTAATTTCGTGCATCGACTGACGAGGACATTCCGCGGAAGGATGAGTCCAAGTCAAAATTCGTGAGGGTCGAAATTCGTCTAGCGGTTCAAGGAAAATGAGCCTTAGGCATCGAGTCCAGTGGTCGGACGGTTTACGTAAAGTTCACGTTCCAATAGCATTTGATAGCGAATTCATGTGAACAGCCCTAAAGATTAAGAAATTCATGTCCTAGAGGATTAACGAGACATTCCTTAATTTCGTGCACCGACTGACGAGGACATTCCGCGGAAGGATGAGTCCAAGTCAAAATTCGTGATTGTCGAAATTCGTCTAGCGGTTCAAGGAAAATGAGCCTTAGGCATCGAGTCTAATAGTCGAACGTCGTCCGTAAAGTTGACGTTCTAATAAATGCGAAATGTGGCGGGTAAACAGACCCTAAAGGTGAAAAAAAAATTGCCACAATAGAGGGTTGACGAGGCATTCCGGGATTTCGTGCAGCGAGTGGAGGAGCGTAGCCCGCGGAAGGGTGAGTCCAAGTCCTTTAGAGTCGAGATTCGCTCGGCGGTCCGAGGAAAATGAGCCTTAGGCCACTTGTCTGGGGGTCGGACAGGTTACGCAAGGTTCACGTTCCGATAATTGACCAGGCGAATGCGTGTCGACAGCCGGGTCTGCCCAAGGGGTGTTTCTCCCCGACGCGTGCAACTGCAAAAGCCGCAGGTGTGTGGGAGCATCGAAGGGGCAGTCTCTCTCGGAAGGTGATTTCGCAGGGGCAGCGTGGTGCCCCCGGCTGCACCCCGGTTGCCTCCGGGTGCACCCCGGCGCACGCGGCAGTTCGATACGCCACGGCGCAGCGGACGTCGGCCCCGAGACCGTATCTAGGGCACCGCCTCTAACCAATTTATACCCAACCCCGTTCTCGACAAGGCACAATGGACCGATCCACGTGTCTGACCACGGACGTAAACCACCCCCGGTCCCTTTGACCGAGGATTCCTCCCTTGCCGACGCAGTCCTACCTCGGAAATGAATGCCGCGAGAAACGTCGTGGGTGCGGATGAGATACATTCCCCCGGAAATCGAAATAGACTTGTCCGTCTACCCCGGCGGTTCTTAAGGTGACGTTAAAGTGGCGTCAAAGAGGTCTCGTTTATGAAACTACTCTTCAAACTGGGTGTACCGAGTCGTTTCAAACGTGAGAATGCGAATAGGGAGGCTGTGGGGAAGATCCTGACATCCATTAAATTTCAATTTTTTTCAGAGATATTTTCAAAATATTTTATAAAAAATGAAATTGTATGAGGGTCAGGACCTTCCTTATAGCCTCCATGTTTACCTTGTACACCCAGTACACCCAGTACACCCAGTACACCCAGTACACCCTTGTACACCCAGAGCGGAGGAAAGTTTCGCGAACGATTGAGCTTTCGGATGCCACTTTCACATCCCCTTAAGGTGATATGAAAGGCGCAAATGAATTTAATTGTATACTTTGTATTGTAAATTGTTAAAGTGTATCCTTTAGTAAAGGACCGAGAAATTGTATACTTGTATTGTAAATTGTAAAATTGTATCCTTTAGTAAAGGACCGAGAAATTGTATTCTTGCATTGTAAATTGTAAAATTGTATCCTTTAGTAAAGGACCGAAACCCTTTTAGTAAGAATAAGTAAGTGTTTAACCCTTTTAGTACCGGGCGAAAAAGAGGTGCTTATGTCAAGATAACCGGCCGAATTTTACGATCTTACTAGGATTTAGAAAAAGGCTCATAAAAACCAAACGAAAAGCAATATTTACATAATTCAAAAAGCAGGGTACTAAGGACAAAATAGAGAATAAAACAGTGACGCTAATTTTTCTATAATCAGTGAAAATTACATAAACAAAATTACAAGGTGCGGGCCGATATATCGGCTCTGGCACTTTTCGCCAGGGCAGCGAGGGCCGATATATCGGCCTCCGGCACTAAAAGGATTAAGTTCTCAAATGACTCTGATTGTTATAGGTGTTGTTGTATTGTTATTTTAATTTTCTCGTAATGAAATTAGACTATTTATAACGTATTATAAATTTATTTTGACATAGAGATCTCTCGCAAAGCGAATAGTAAAGCGCTACAAGGTGCGGGCCGATATATCGGCTCTGGCACTTTTCGCCAGTGCAGCGAGGGCCGATATATCGGCCTCCGGCACTAAAAGGGTTAATAAAGGACCGTAAGGGAGTTTTACGATTGCGGTCGAATGACGTGGCAAACACGACGAGGAAATTGGAGGTCTACGGCGAGGGGTGGAAGTCAGGGGTTGCTCGCTGTAAACAGGAAATCTTGGAGAAAGAAATCGATAATGCAAATTAATCGGGGAAGAGCATGAGCACGTGGCGGATATTAAATACGTAGCTACAAGGACGAAGTGTCGAGAGGGTCGAGAGGACCTCGAGAAGGGGTTGTTGCGACGTAGGCATCGAGAGGGATCCCGAGAGCGTTCCGAGGGTGACGACGGACCTCGAATGCTAGGAAATTGCCTCGGGAATCGATAAAAAGTAGAAAAGGTATTTGCAAGGCTGACTCTCGATCGCAAACTCTGACTTCCGGGCAGTGGTCCTTAACCTCTTCACCTACAATATCGCGTGAGACACGTGGTATATCAATCGGGCCAAACGTTAACAAAACGTGTGAGAGACGTGGTATGTCAATCGGATCAAACGTAAACAAATCGTATGAGACGTGTGAGACTTGAATGTTCAGCGAAACCGTGAAATGGCCCGATGTATGACCGACATTTTTGTTGTTTGTGGCACATGCTATTGGAAGTTAACCTTTTCACTTGCAATATCGCGTGAGAGACGTGGTATATTAATCGGGCCAAACGTAAACAAATCGTATGAGACGTGTGAGACTTTGAATGTTCAGCGAAACCGTGAAATGGCCCGATGTATGACCGACATTTTTGTTGTTTGTGGCACATGCTATTGGAATTTAACCTCTTCACTTACAATGCACCGAATTGCTTCAAATTTTATCACGTAAATATGGAGCATCAAAGGAAAGTCCTGATACCCGTAAAACTTCAATTTTTTAATTTCTTTGTAAACGTTTTATTTTTATAAGGTAAAAAAATTATCATTTTAAAGTGACATGGAAGGAGCACCCGAGGGGTCAATCGATTATGAAAATTTTCTCCGAACTGAGTATACCGAGTTGTGTCAAATTTTACCACGTATATATTGAGGATCAAAAGAAGGTCCTGCCACCCATGAAATTTCATTTTCCCCGAAATTTTCTTTATTTATCATGAACTGGAACCTATATGGTGCCGTCTCTGCATATTTTGGATATTTTATGTACTTAAATGCGGCCGACAAGTAAAAAAATTTGATATCCTTATCTCAGGGACTTTGGTGATCTGTATATTTTCTTTCTCCGGCTTCAAAGAGGTTAAGAACCACTGCTTCAGGATATGCTTCGACAAAAATCGATTTTAATGATGAAACTACGTTGCTTCCGTTTCCGACCACGTGATCGGCTCGATGAAGAGCGTAAACTTTATTCTGGTCGATTTGGTTTATCGCGTGGCTCGCAATTTTTCATACAGTTTACCCTGGGATAACTTCCTGGCGTGCTCGTTCGAAGTTTCGCCGTTTTCTCGGCTGATTTCGCGATCGTTCTACTTTCCTTATCGAACGTCCACCTCTCCTCGGAGCAGCTTTCGATCCTGCGAAAACGAGGTTCCCTTGGAGCGTTCCTTTACCCGCAGTGTGTCGGTATGGTACAAGAAATTCTGACAAATTTCATCTCCTGTATACACTTACGCGAAGGACGAAGTTACGACTTCCTTCTCGTCGAAATTCACATCCATACAATTTATTTGTAGGGTCGGAACGGTGCAGGAAATTCTGATAATGCGGCGGTAATTGTGAATGCGCCGAGTCAAACGTTGAAGAAAATAAATTTATCCCATATTTAGTGTTGACTTAGGCCACTTTCATAATCATCAACACGTATGCATTTATACACACGAAGTTCCTATTTTACCTAAATTCATATTCATATAATTTGTTTTTAGTGTATTCGTCCGCTACAGTAAATTCTGACAATTTTCATCTACCATATGCACTTGTGCAAAGGACGATGTTGCGACTTCCTTTTTGTCTAAATTCATATTGATGTAATTTATTCTTAGTGTCGGAACGGTGTAGTACATTCTGACAATTCTCACCCACCGTATGTAGCGATAATTATGAGTGTTCTAAATCAAAAAATGAAAGAAAATGAATTTATCTCATATTTAGTGTCGACTTAGGCCACTTTCATAATCATCGATGCGTATACATTTATACACACGGAGTTACGAGTTCCTTTTGGTCTAAATTCACATTTATATAATATATTTTTAGTGCCGGAATGGTGCAGGAAAATTCTGACAATTCTCACCCACCGTATGTGGCGATAATTATGACTGTTCTAAGTCAAAAACTAAGGAAAATGAATCTATCTCACATTTGACGTCGAATTTGTTTAAATTAAATGATGTGGTTATTTTTGCAACAGATGAAATGATTTAGTCCACTTTCATAACCATCGGCACATACGTTCTTATACACAGAAGTTACGAACTTCTATTTTGTCAATATACACTGATATCATTTTATAGTGTGTCCATACGGTACAAGAAATTCTGACAATTTTAATCCATGATATGCAGTTATACAAGAAACGAAATCTCTACTCCCTTTTTGTTTAAATTAACCCTTTGGTTTAAATTAACGCTTAGAGCGCCTAAAGGCGTCCGACGTTTGGTCCAATATTGCTTGCACGGTTAGACGAATTTCACCCATATGTCGAGATGGCTCCGTCTTCAAAGGGTTAACGTCGTTACAATTTGTTTCCAGGATGATCACGGCGCTGCCCGTACCATCGGTCAAAGTCTTCCACAAAACTTACTACCAGGAGAAAAGTACGAGAATAGGAAACAGTCAACCAGGAAGTCCTTTGGCCGACAGCGAAGCTGTGTTAGCACTCGTTGATAAGGAACCACCCGAATATTACTTCTGTGGAAAGGTACCTAAAAAATCATACCGAGGGGGTATACACTCAGGAAATCGTGAATTTTCATGCTCGAAATCACGTGGAGATCAGCTGGAAATTGCAAGCAGAAATCACTTGAAATCGTTGGAAATCACCGAAAGACTGTCACAATTCTAAGACCGAACGTCATCTGTTATCTAATGGCATTGTTGTTTATAATACGAAATCAAAGGCAATCGATTTTCAAAAAAGGAAAACGTTTTCACTGATTTCCAGTGAATAGCCCCTCGAGTCATACTATAACTCATTTTTTCCACTTACAATAAGAAAATAGAGTTAATATTTATAAATAGTTAAATAGAGATACGAACGCAGAAACTATGTAGTTTATTTACGATTATTTATAATTTAACTTTACCGACGGAATTAGTTTTACGCTATTTATCAAAGTTTTCGCATGTGTATATTCAGAACAGACGAGCCGTTTATATAATTTGTTAAAAGTCTCTGTTGGATAACCATAGAATGTGGTTATTGTATGGACAACCCAATATTAAAGCATATAATTTCGTCCAAGACCGGGAGTTAGGTTACCTATTGATAACGCGGATAAGTTTCAAAGGGTGTGCAAGGTCTATTGTCTTGGAAAGGATGCAAGGATTCAAATTTTTGTTCTACTTCTAATTGAAATAGGAACAAGGACATCCAAGATAAGTTTCAAAGGGTGTGCAAGGAGTAATGTCTTGGAAAGGATGCAAGGATCCAAATTTTTGTTCTACTCCTTATTGGAATAGGAACAAGGACATTCAAGATAAGTTTCAAAGGGTGTACAAGGAGTAATGTCTTGGAAAGGATGCAAGGATCCAAATTTTTGTTCTACTTCTAATTGGTATGGGAACAAAGACATCCAAGATAAGTTTCAACGAGTGTGCAAGGTTTATTGTCTTGGAAAGGATGCAAGGATAAAAATGTTTGTTCTACTTCTAATTGGAATAAGAACAAGGACATCGAAGACCGGGAGTTAGGTTACCTACTGATAACGCGGATAAGTTTCAAAGGGTGTGCAAGGAGTGATGTCTTGGAAAGGATGCAAGGATCCAAATTTTTGTTCTACTCCTTATTGGAATAGGAACAAGGACATCCAAGATAAGTTTCATAGGGTGTGCAAAGCCTATTGTCTTGGAAAGGATGCAAGGATTTAAATTTTTGTTCTACTTCTAATTGGAATAGGAACAAGGACATCTAAGATAAGTTTCGAAGGGTGTGCAAGACCTATTGTCTTGGATAGGATGCAAGGATTCAAATTTTTGTTCTACATCTAATTGGAATAGGAACAAGGACCTACAAGATAAGTTTCAAAGGGTGTGCAAGACCTATTGTCTTAGAAAGGATGCAAGGATTAAAATTTTTGTTCTACTTCTAATTGGAATAGGAACAAGGACATCCAAAGCTGGGAGTTAGGTTACCTACTGATAACGTGGATATGTTTCAAAGGGTGTGCAAGGCCTAATGTCTTGGAAAGGATGCCTTGGCCAGACTGCCATTAGTCACCCTGTTTTATCATCGCTTTGATTTCGCCGGAATTGATTAGATTAGGAGATTTATTCTCCCCGCGTAGATACGAACATTATACAACCCTAAAGGGAAGGAAATTTAGGTTCCCCAGCTTAGCCAACAAACGTTATTACAGACCTATGTGGGAACATTCAAATATAGAAACGTTCTAATAACGCTTTAAGGTGAAGCGAGCCTCTCAAATCCCTATCGAAATCTCGAACCCCTGTCAAACCAGTCGATTCGAATGAAACACTTTTTTTTAAGGGTATTGGATCAAACTGTCTGAAACTTTGACACACGACTCGTGAGCACCTAGGAATTATCCTGACGCTTTCAAAATTTGGATTTTTGACAAACATTTTTTAACTAGCACAAACCGGAATGAAAATGACGTCGAGCTCTCATATTTCGATCGATATACAATTATTGAAGGCTCTGATATGTGGAATAAAAGTTGTCAAGACAATTGTACGACAATTTAGGACATTGTGGTAATCGAGAAACTCGTATTTGAATGGAATAATGGCAAAAAAGTGTCTTACGCGCTTCTATGCTAAAACGATGGAAATACGAGGTCTCGGAATGAAAATTTAATTCACCTGAAAATCACAGATGGCGCAGGGGGTCCCTCTGCAGTCAATTAGGGCCTCAGAAACCATGAATCCAGAGGATTTCTGGAGTTTTACTTCAATTTCTTTATAATTATTGTACGGAAACAACAGGTGGAGTATGCCATTTAGTACAATACCCAATATAATGCGACACAGCTCTAGATATAAAAACGAACGTCGGCAACGTAGGTATTTAGAAAAATCTTTTTCACCGACGACGATCAAGTTCCTCGACGTGTTTCATTTCACCTTAAGATTAAGTCCGAAATCGCGGTTTAAACTGTACGTGACAGTCAATTCGAAAAATGAATTAATAATCGCCAGCATAAGGTGCCTTGTGCCAAGTATTTATCGGTGTCACATCTTTGACGTGCCAAGAAGATAGGAGTCAAGGCCTTTTATCATTTGTGTTATGGATTCTCAAAAGAATATTTTATACTTTCGCGCCTTTCCTTTGTTGGGTATATTCGATAACACACAATGGAAGAAAAATCCTTAGATCCCGTTTCATAAGTCTCCAAGTGTCATATGTGTCAATTTAGAGCTCCTTCAAGGCAACGCTCGTGTGAAAGAGGAAATGTAATCAGTGGGCGATAACGAGATCTGGTATCAGCTTGCAAATTTCCTTCTCGTCTTTCACGTTCAGGATTTTGAAATCCATAGCTTCATCTGCCCTAACTCACGGCGACATACCTAATTCAAAATTACTAGATTAAAAAAACATCCCTTAATCCCAGATGTTGCGTCCTTAGTAGTACAAAATGTTTTCTAAATATTTTTTTGTAATCTTTGCTAGATATCTAAAGTCGTAATCACCGTATGTCTGCCTTAACTCACGGCGACATACCTAATTAAAAATTACTAGATTAAAAAACATCCCTTAATCCCAGATGTTGCGTCCTTAGTAGTACAAAATGTTTTCTAAATATCTTTTTGCAATCTTTGCTAGATATCTAAAGCGATAGATGTTTTAAGATGTCTTGTAGATTTCAATTGAAGATATCCAAACTATTTGTTGAAAATCTCAGTGACATATTTACTTTTTAATAATGTAGAAACCTGTATCAAAATTACATTTTTTAATTTATAAACATGTAACTCGGACTCTGCAAATCAAACTCAATGTTTCCAGAGGTATCACGCGAATTAACCTTCGCAAAACCGCGAAGGTTAAACCGTTAGCAACATGGCAACCAATCTTTTCAGATCTTCAATCCACAAAATGTAACACGATTAAAACAGACGCAACTAGTGGCTCGCATTTCTCGCTCGTGCAGCGCCACGGCGGTCCAGCGGACGGCCGGAGAAACTCCAGGGTCGCCTTTTGAGAAATGAGACCACCGCTTCGATAACCTGTTCAATTCTTTATATAACAGATCCACATACAATATAATTTTGTGAGAATTAACCTTGGAAAAAACGTCGAAGGTTAACATAACCATAAGCAACGTAGTTAAATAACTTCAATCTTCTTATATCCGATTCATAATGAAATCCATGATTTGATTGTACCCTCCCTAGTACAATAGAATAATTTCTAAACATTTCTTTGTAATCGTTGCTAAATATCTCATGCGAAAGATTTAATAAGATCTCTTGTAGATTTCATTCGAGGATATCTGAAATATTTGTTGAAAATCTCAGTGACATATTTACTTTTTAATAATGTAGAAACCTGTATCAAAATTACATTTTTTAATTTATAAACATGTAATGAAAATACAGTTTTTTTTTTTACTTTACGATCATTGTCGGATACTGTAATTGGTACAAAAGAAACACGACAAATTTTTGAAATGCTTTTGTATACCAATTTTCAATCACATTTATTAGAATTTATAGACGATTGTGTACAAAGGTACATGAATATCAGTGATTAAATGAACATGATATTAGACTCAGTCATAAGACATGTCCAGGAAGACTCGACCACTAATTATACCCTGATTTTCCATCCCGGACATACACACAATTGCACATTTAAGATAAACTCGCATAGTAAATTATTTAACCCTTTTTATTAATTTCTTCCCTCATCTTCCAGTACCCTTAAAAATGTTCAACACTATTTTACGAATTCTCATGTAGATACGGTGTTTTTCAAAACGTAGGGTGCATTCAACCCTTTTTCAATCCTAGGGTCGCTGTTTCTAATTTTGGTACAACTACAATTTTATTCGAAAACCCTCGAGATATTGACTAATGTTTAATGGTAGCTCAAAGTAATTAAAAACCGCGGTTTCCAATTTTAGAAAATCGAAGCTTCAGGTGGTTCATCTTCCGTCAATTGGAAGAGGTAATTATTTATTTTCTACCCCGCGCCCTCTGGAATCACAGCGGAAATCGATCTCGTCCATTATTGGCTGTTAATTTGAATTATTAAGAAATAAATAGAATCGGGATCGATCTCCTAACGTAAATAGACGGTATTAAACGTGCATCCCTCCAGTCGGCGGGGAAGGGCAAACACACGTTAAGGGTTGGAGGTGACGTCACTCGGAATTGCGTGGGCGTTCCTCCTGTGGGTGGACTACCGCCTTGCACAACGTTACTACTATACTTAATGCTAATCGATGGAAATTCCTGGCGAACATCTGCGACCTTTCGCTTTTCGAATGGTCCTGGACAGTCCCAACCCGTCTTCCTCCTACATAAAACAACAAATTAATATTCCCCTTCCTGCCCCACCGTTGTTGATCATTCATTAGTAACGTTATGGATTTAACGAATGAAGCATAGAAACCTGAAAATCCAGAAAATGTTGGGACCTTTGGATAGATAAAAGGCAATTTGAATTTGAGACATGTAGTTTTGCAGGAATTGCACGGGAGAAAAAAGAACGGGGGGCGCACACATATAAACCGGAAGTCAAGCGCGTGCTGCTTCGAGATTAAAAATGGTGTCCGGGCGCGAAAGTTCAAATACGAAGAAAAACCACAATGCCACATAGCATGTGTAACATAAGATCAGTTTATTCGAGTAAAACAACCTCTTGGAGGGTATTTTACCGAACGGTTTGACATTTTGCCAGATGAATTCCGAACACCCAAGAAATGTTCCGACGCTTTCAGAATATGAATTTTTACATTTTTCTAATTTAGTCTAGACCAGAATCAAAATGGAGACGTGCTGTCATATTTCGATCTTCATACAATTGGGAATGGGAAAAAAAAATCTTGAAAATGGTCATTCTGTTTTCCTTCTCATCCCACCATAGTTGGTAATTAATTAGTAACGTTATAGATTTAACGAATAAAGTATAGAAACCTAAAAATCCAGAAAATGTTAGGACCTTTGGGTAGATAAAAGGCAATTTGAATTTGCGACAAGTAGCTTTGCAGGAATTGCACGGGGGAAAAAAGAACGGAGGGCGCACACATATAAACCGGAAGTCAAGCGCGTGCTGCTTCGAGATTGAAAATGGCGTCCGGGCGTGAAAGTTCAAATACGGAGGAAAACCACAATGCCACACAGCATGTGCAAGAGAAGATCAGTTTTTATTGGAGTAAAAGAACTTCTTGGAGGGTATTTTACCGAACGGTTTGACATTTTGCCAGATGAATTCTGAGCATCCAAGAAATGTTCACGAAATGTTGACGGAATGTTCAAGGAATGATACTTTCAAAATTTAAATTCTCAAACGTTTTTATGATTTAATCTAGACCAGAACCAAAATGAAGACGTGCTGTCATATTTCGATCGTTATATAATTCCCCTTNAAATCGAGAAATCCAGTTGATTCGAGTGAGACAATTCCTTGGAGGGTATTCTATCGAACTATTTGACATTTTCCCAGATGAATTCCGAGCCCTTAAAGAATGTTCACAAAATGTTCACGGAATGTTCAAGGAATGACACATTCAAAATTTGAATTTTCAAACGTTTCTACGATTTAATCTAGACCAGAACCAAAATGAAGACGTGCTGTCATATTTGTCTGTCATATTTCGATCGTTATACGATTCTTGAAAGTTCCAATATAAAAAACGAAAGTCTCGGGACAGTAGCGTAATAATTAAAAACAATTTAGTAATTCGGAAACACGGATTTGAAGATGATAGAGACGAAGAAAGCCTTGGAAACTCCCACACTAACCTGAATGTAACACGTGCAGGGCACAAGTTCGATTGAACAATAATTTCAAATTAACTTTTAACCCATTATTAGTGACAATGTCCGAACGTATCTTACACGGTTCATGACGGTTCAAGACGAAGCGTGAAAATTATTAACAAGTCCCCAAACTACTACACATGCCTGTGACTAGTATTTGCCAATGCCGCCGCCAAATAGTTGGATAAAAACAAATGTCGCCAAATAGTTGGATAAAAACAAATGTCGCCAAATAGTTGGAAAAAAACAAATGTCGCAAGTTAAGGTTCATCATGTTTCCAGGTAGATGGCTATTTCATGGCTTATCTTTTGTAAATATCGGTACGGTTTAACCTACGGGACGATATCCCCAACTTTACCTTAAGAACATTTCCTGAAATAATAATTTACAACAGTTAATAAATAATCCTTTTCGATTTAGAAGCTTCATTTTTCGTGTGGCCACCTATCGAGTTCCTTGTTTGCTTTCACCTTATACATTTTTCCACTTAACGTTGTCCACCGAATTCTCTCGATGACCTCGATGATAAAAGTAGGATCTTTCCCATGAGAGGTTGCCGAGATCATTCGAGGTTGACTTGACACACAGGAGCGTTACACGCGCTCGACTGACTCCTACCGAATGCCCTTGAATTACAGAGACAGAGTGTTAAAGGTGCAAACTAGGTGGGGTACGAGAGGTCTTCGTAGTTGAAGTTTAAAGCCTGGATCGATCGGTAAACCGTCCCACCGGAACCACACGGCAAATTCCGAGAATTTCGTTGATTAACAACGCGCAGGCTCCTGGAATTGGGGGATGATTTCATCCTTTTCCTCGTTAAGGTGAAATTAAACCCCCCTCGATTCAGTTAATTCTAATGCAACAACTCTTTTTTAAGGGTATAGGACCAAACTATCTAAAACTTTGACACATCACTCCTGATCATCTAAGAATTTTTTTTAAGGGTATTGCCCCAAACTGTTCTAAACGTTGACACATGACTTGTGATCATCTAACAATTGTCCTGACACCTTCACGTAAAATTGTCCTGACCCTTTCGTTTCTCATATCAGAGCCTTCGATAATTGTATATTGATCGAAATATGAGAGCTCGACGCCATTTTGTTTCTCGTCTGGGCTGAGTTAAAGAATTTGTTTTAAAAATCCAAATTTTGAATGTGTCAGGACAATTCTTAGATGATCAGGAGTGATGCGTCAAAGTTTCGGACAGTTTGGTTTAATACCCTTAAAAAAAAGTGTTGTGTTCGAATCGACTGATCTGAAGGGGGTTTCACTTCACCTTAAGCTTTTGGATGCCACTTTCATATCCCCTTAATATATGGACAAGTTTCGATCCTAAAGAACTGTTACAATTAATTGTGGAAATAAAAACGGGAAAGTTGTTACAATTGAACTCGGTCCCTATTAGTAATGAATTTCGAATCGTTTAACAGGTGAACTCCTTGCACGTGGTGGTCGGATCTCTTCTCCTTGGAGTGATCGTCCTGGTGGTTGGTCTGGTGCAGCTCGCTCCTGGAGCGGAAGCTGCCCAAAATTCGGCTGCCCTCATAGCTGCAGGATGCGGTCTTCTCGTAGTAGGTGTTCTTTTGGCACCTCTCAGGGCCCTCTGCATCAGGAGACAGAAGGCAGCCCAGAAAGACGGCACTCATCAGCGCAGTGTCACCAGCATAGACATGCTCCTGGCGCAGCATAGGTGAAAACCATGTTTATATAAAACCCACCCCTCCGTACCTCCCATTTACCCGAAAGGCGTCTCTGCAATTATTCGCCCGGGTAAAGTAAACGCGCACCGCGTTAAAACGTAACGCGATAAATCACGGCAATTAAACAACAAGTAAAGAAACATTTCCCTACGCGACCGTGGTTTCTGCGAGCCTCGTTAGAGTCTAATTAATAAGGCGTATACGCGGTTAAATTTTACACTAGTCATACTGAAGTTAAAGCGACGTAATATTTATAAAAATTATCTCCAAACTGGGTGCATCTAATTATCTTAAACTCTAACACATGATTGTGGAGGCTCTAAGGAAGAACGCGCAGTCTGTAAAGTTTTATTTTTCGAAAAAAAAAAGAAAAAATTTTGCATTTTTCTCGGACATGAACGAAAAAAAAAGGTATTTTTTCTCGAAAAATGAAATTTCACGGGCAGCGTGTTCTCCCTTAGAGCCTCCATAATGACGTGTTAAAGTTTAAGGTAATTCGGTGCACCCAGTTTGGAGATAAGTTTTATAAATCTTTTGACTTTTTGGCACGTATATATCACACTTTCATATCATCTTAAGTAGGATGAAAACTTCGACGCGGGTCACGACGTCACTTTCTATCAAGGATTGCTCCACTCTCGAAGTCTCCGATCTAAATCTAGAAAACAAAGACGAATCAGGAAATGAAGATTTTAAACTTCCGCGGCCAGAGTTATTCTTTAAAAAAATGCATCAAAAAATTCCGAAGTCTCCATAGAAGCCCAGAAGGATACGGACGTTCGATGCTCGATAAATAGTACGTTAGCCGACAGATGGCGGCGCTGTAGTCATCTCTCCATCTCTCTCAATCTTATAGAGATATATAGCGAATTGCATTTTTTCTTTATCTTACCCACAGTACTCGCCTTTCTATATGCGTCTCTTTTTCTCCCGTATGTGAGACATCGATGGTTAACACATGGGATCTCTCTTTTACCCCCACTTCTTGTTTGTTAGCCAACTTTTAGAGCATCAAGCGATAACATGAGATCTGGGCTTCTGTGAAACTTTTTAATTCTTTACTCATGTCCATTGTCGCCAGAGGCCGACGTTTCGCAAAAGTTGAGGTCCACATCATCAGATGTACAGTAGGCACCCCCACATCGGAAATATGGAAGGAAACCTATTGGAGAATTTAGTGCTTTTTTAGTGCTATTTTAGTACTACAACCTGGATTTTAGTGTTCCACCCCTTATACCGAAAATCGGTGGTGGTGCTAAGTGAACGTTCACTCGACACCCCCACAGAGCATACTACGTTAAGGGAAAGATTCACGGAAAAAACGAGTATGCAGCATTTTGGTGCTAACTAAGTGCTTTAGGAATACCCAAGAGCCTGATCCGAAACATCACCCCCTTCACCCTAAAACTACCCCCGATCATATAGGCTCCAAGAAAGAAGAGGTAGAAATAATAACACATTTTACCCGTTCTTCTCTCGCATTATTTTGGTGTTATTTAAGTGCCTTAAGGATATGCAAGAGCCAGATTCTAAAGACCACCCCTTTCACCTCAAAACTACTCCCAATCGGATAGGCTCCAAGACAGAAAAGGTAGAAATATAAAAATTTTCCCGTTCTCTTTTCGCATTATTTTGGTGCTATTTATGTGCCCTGTGGATACCCACGATATCCTTAAAGCACTTAAATAACACCAAACAAATGCGAGAGAAGAACGTGCAAAATGTGTCATTACTTCTACCTTTTCTATCTTGGAGCCTACACGATCAGGGGTAGTTTTAGGGTGAAGGGGGTGATGTTTCGGATCTGTCTTTCGGGTATTCCTAAAGCACTTAAATAGCACCAAAATGCTGCATACTCGTTTTTTCCGTGAATCTTTCCCTTAACGTAGTATGCACTGTGGGGGTGCCGAGTGAACGTTTACTCAGCACCACCACCGATTTTCGGTATAAGGGGCGGAGCACTAAAATCGAGGTTGTAGCACTAAAATGGCACTAAAAAAGCACTAAATTCTCCAATAGGTTTCCTTCCATATTTCCGATGTGGGGGTGCCTACTGTACATACATCTTCATCAGGGCAGACACCGATGTAAAGGAAATAATCCCTTGGGTAACTAAATTCATGATCTTCCGGCAGGGACTTCACGGTTTTGACACCCGACGAGCTGGAAGACCTAGTGGGAAGACCCGCTGCCACCTTAGAGGGAAAGATCCGGAAGCCGGGTGGCCACAACACCTAGGTATCATTTGCCCCGAAGAATCATCAGCAATCATCATCGAGCTCTCCAACCGCCTCCTCGCCATCGCCAGGAACCAGCTCCTCCATCTTGTACACGCATCCGTACGACTCAAAAGAACACAGCCTGGTCTGAAGACCTCCAGCCCGTCTTCCCATCGAAATACCTAAACCAACGGCAACATCCATCAAAATCTTGCGTCAGGACCAAGGCAAAAGTACCAACGAGCGGATCGATACGTATTCGTACTTGCGAGAATCAGTTGCAGAGCTGCGACGAGAGCTGATACGAGAAACGATCATCAGTGTTCGGACATCTTCGGGGTTTTCATTCGTCCGTCGACATACTAGAGAAATATCACGAGGAGAGAGAACAATGTTTATTATTCGGGGTTTGGCGAGAGAAATTCTGGGTGCGAAATTTGTCCCTGCACTTACGCCGTAACGCCGTAGCACTAACGAGCCGCTTCGTTAGTGACGTGACAATGAACGGCGTTTAGCGCGGCAACGGTGAAAGTTAGGAGAAAATGTCTCGAGTAAAAGTTGTTCGGTATGAATTGATGAACAAGTTTTGTGGGAAGCTTTTTTCTATATCGCCTGTGGTTAAGGCGGTAAATCGCGAGGATAGTTTCAGGAGGCGAAGCGTGTGTGTGACATTTGTACGCTGGAAGTAGACGTGCTACGTTGGCGGATGAAATAGGACGAATTACTGACAGGGTGATTGTGGTTATCGTTGTTGCACCCGGAATTTTTATCTTGCCCGCACCTATTTCTAACTATTCTTTTTTTTTTCTTCTCTCGCACGAATTGTAAACTGTAAGAGTGTAGAGCGGCGTAGGGCACGCAAATGGTACACGTTAAGAGGCAGATTTTTGTAAGGCTACGAGGTGTACGAGAAGCGTCAGCACTAATAGTAATTGTAGCTTTTGTTAAGAACGAAATCGATGTAGGCTGCGCCGAAGATTTGCGATTTTACGAGGTAGTTTGTAAACGGTTCGCGCGGTAGGGATAAATCGATACGAATAAAGACTCGATACCAAATACTACTTAATATCGATGAAAAGTACTCGAATCAAATGATCAAACATATTGAGTTCATTGTTAGGTACTTTTGTTTCGTACCTAGAGGAACGTTAAATCGAATTACAACGTACTATGATTACTAAACAAACTTGTTCACAATGGATTTCCCTTCTTGGACTATTTAATTCCTTCTACAAGAGACAAGTTTGGTTTGTATAGTTGCGAGTATTTTCAATCGATACGAGCAGGTATCGATACTTATTTTTCCTGCGAGTTATAAGTAAAAGTATCGATAATTGGTGGAATCACTTCGTCCTTATACACGAAGAAAAACATTTGGTTAAATCAATATACTATTTGTTGATTCAACCATAGAATATGGTTATTACATGGAGAAGCATATATTCGGTTGACGTGACAAAAATATTTGGCCGATTACGTCAAATATTCAGGTAGATCACATATAATATTAAGGTAATTTCATTAAGGTAAGGTCATTTAACCGAAATATTTTGGTTTAGTTACTGAAATATTGTTTAAAATTGACAAAAAGGTTTCATTAAACACTTTAGCTGATTGCAAACGAATTTCGTCGAGTGGGACTAAAACTCAGTTGATTCAATGGAAAACGTTTTCTGAAAATTAAGAGAATGCAGTCAATCAAACGATTTGTTTTATGAACCACATTTTTTGCGTGTATCGATATTTATTTTGGTATCGAGTACGTGTTGATATTTCATTTAATTGCAAGTATTAAGTAAAAGTATCGATTCGTCCTTATTTTTTGCGTGTATCAATATTTATTTTGGTATCGAGTACGTGTTGATATTTCATTTAATTGCAAGTACTAAGTAAAAGTATCGATTCGTCCTTATTTTTTGCGTGTATTGATATTAAATTTGGTATCGAGTACGTGTTGATATTTCATTTAATTGCAAGTATTAAGTAAAAGTATCGATTCGTCCTTATTTTTTGCGTGTATCAATACTTAATTTGGTTTCAAGTACGCGTTCATATTTCATTTCGATGCAAGTAATAAGTATTGACACTTTGGTGGTACCGATTCATCCATATTTTCATTAATATTTATTTTGGTATCGAGTACGTGTTCATATTTCATTCAATTGCAAGTATTAAGTAAAAGTATCGATACTTTGGTGGTATCGATTCATCCTTATCTACGAGAACTCCGTGTAGGATGAGGGCGATTGGTCGTCGAAGAATTCAAGTTTTGAATCTTATCGCCCCGAAAGAAATGATATTGTCAGCACAGCAAAAATTTAGTCATCAACTTCCTCACCATATTCAGCAGTTCATCAATCGCAGTTACGCATCGCATCGCTTAAAAGAAATGCAATTTAAGCAATAAACGAGACGCGACGAAGGATTTCTCCTTCGTCGAAAGTAATCGATAGAATCTGCCCAGTATCATTTATCTCGAACTTCTCTTGACCACAAGCATTATCTCATTGGGTTGGCTAAAAAGTCGTACGACACTTAACATTTTCATCGTTTAAATTTTACGAAGACTTACAGAATAAACATTGAGATAGGCACAGACCGTAAAGGGAGATGCAGAATATATTACGGAAGTTCTAATTCAATTAATAGAGATAAATTTGGAAAATTCTGCCGATAGAGCGTTGCAATATCACGAATATCGGCAATACACGATATACGAATTTACTGCCGGATCAGCATAAAGTATTCTACAGCAACAATAAAATCCAGCAATTTATGTTTCCCTATGACGTTCGCAAGACTTAACCGCGTAAGGAATTCAATTGCTGTAACGTATTGCACAAGAATAGTACCTATGGACTGTTATTTTTGATGTTACAAATATCAATTGATAGAATAACATATTTCCAAAGGCATGGAATTCTGATCGGCATGCAAAACTTCTTTGCTCACGCAAAACGAGTGTAATTTTTTGCTGTAGCTACAATACCTTTTCCCCCGGATTTTGCGGAAAATTATTTCTTCTTTGTAATCGGGTTAATATCTGAGTCGAAATTTTTATCCTACTAAGAGCCTCTAATTAGCTTTAAATGGGCTTTAAGATATTCTATCCGAGTCTACATTTTTATTCCATTTAAAATTTCTAATTGTAGACCTTAAGGTGGTATGAAAGTGGCATTTACGGGGTCAGTTGTTTATAACATTTTTCTCCAAACTCGACGCACCGAATTATTTAAACCTTTATCACGTGAGTATGAAAGCCCAAAGGAAGGTTTTGATCCTCATGAAATTTCATTTTTTATTAAAAAGTAGTAAAACGTTTAAGAAATTGAAAAAATCTGAAATTTCATGGGTATCATGATCTTCCTTAGCGCTTTTATGATTATGGGGTAAAATTTCAAACAATTCGGTACGCACACATCAAACAGTTCCGAGAAAAGTTTTATGAATGGGACAACGATATATCATCGTTTTTCAAGGCCTAACGATTTTAAATGGCACTGAAAGGGTTAAATGCCACTTTCATACCACCTTATATGGGTTTAAGGTACACTAGTGAAGAAATCACTGATACTAATTTGCCATCGTTTAGGTTGCGACAATGATGATCCTAACAAACTCAATTTTTCTGAAGCCGAGAAATTTATTTAGCAAGAAACATGTAGATCTCTGGAAGAAATTAATACCGTCTAGAAAGTAAATTTTTGTTCAGTGCAATATAAGGAGAAGTACTTCTGTACAATTAAGAGCTTACTTTAGACCTTAGAACTGGCAGATATTCCAATTTTGTCTACTTTCAGGCCTGAAATAGAATTTAATTCGGACTAACAAGGAAGGTACCCCAGGTAGATTTTTCCGATTTGATTTCTTTTATAATATGTTATAGTAGACTAAAAACTAAGCGATACGTATTTTTTTTATCTGCCCTTAAACACTTTAAGGGGGTGAAACCATCATCCAAAGTAGGGCCTGTGAGGGTTGGCTCACCCCTTAATTTTTTTTTGAATTGAGAAAATTATATTTTTCATTTCTCGTTATGAGAAAGCTTCTCCAGGTGGATTGGTTAAAAAATATTATGTTCTTGTGAGTGAAACTGCCAAATCGCCCCTTGACATGCCTTACTTTGGATGGTGGTTTCATCCCCTTAAAGTGTTTAATGGCAGATAAAAAAAAATACGTCGCATAGTTTTTAGTCTACTATAACATATTATAAAAGAAATCAAATCGAAGAGATCGACCTGGGATACCTTCCTTGTAAGTAGGATGTCAAGGTGAAAAATTGAATATAAAGAGGAAGTAGGACTAAAAGAGGTCTTACTTGGGTTACGTAGATTCAAAGTAGGGCAAAAATTTCGACTTGGGAAATGTCTGATTTTTCGGAAGTAAAGTACAGCTATGCCCATGAAATTTATGAAAAATTGTCGGTTCACACCGAAGGACATTTGCATACGTTGGTAATTGCGGAAACATTTTCGACAGGTCCTGGAAATGATAACGTAAACGTTCTTTTGCACCGCAAAGCTCAGATCTTATTGTTAAATGAAAACGCCACAATTAAGTAGGTACAGTGAAAAATAACGTCATTGCATATTTTCGCATTATCTTTCTCGTTACAGTTTGGCAATCAGCACCCGAATTGGAATTACCGACCTCAGTTGAATTTTTACGACCTTTATTCTTTCGATCATTTATTGTTAATTCGTTGACAGAAATTTCGAACTCATTTAATTTGCTGAAAACCTCGGAAAACAAAGAATTCGCTTTTCTCATTAAAACATTAAAATCCTTGGAACGTTTCATTTGCATCGAAGCTTGGAAAATCACAGATTAAAATAGTTCTTCCATTTTATAGTGTAAAATGTCGGAGATAATGAAAATCGACATTCCATGGTATTGATTTCCCTGCGATGAAATTAAAGACCCATTACAAAATTAACCATGTATTGCATGATTGCATTTGTAAACAGTAGAATCTTAAATATGTCAAGTGTAAGGTTACAATTTATGTTAATTATTTATATAAAACTATTCCTAGGGTCAAGAGCGAAGAGGATGAAGCGAAACTCGATTGAACGATTGAAAATTGACATTTCTGAGGTTTAATCGAA